TATCATAAACTACCTGACGTCGCAATCTGAATGAGTAAAGACATTAGTTAGAGCATTCACGCTATGGGCCTTGTAGTTTAACATATTAGTGCAGGCCCAGCATATACCAGGCATAGACAATAGACTAGCTGATGCATTCTTGCGCGAACAGATTGAGTGGTTCAGGGAGCTAGACCTGGAGCCAATGGCTTCCCATAGACTCAACCCCCAGAGTTTTGGCAAATTGGTGCGAAGATGCAGAAAGAGCAATAGGCTTGGCCCTGGCACCAAGACATGAAAAGGGTACCTGGTCATGAGTATAGAGTTCCATGAATTTAGGAAGCTGGTCAACCCAGCGCCGGTTTGGCTGGTGCCAGTATATCACCTGCAGCAATTTGTTGTGTATCCGAATAAAAAGAGATTGGTGCCTTCAACCATATAGGGTAGGTTGTCAGCAGTTTGGGACCTCGATATTTGGCAGATTGCCTTCTCCCACCTCATCATTGTTTAGTCGTTTAGTTGTGTCCGACTCTTCATGACTCCATGGACCTGAGCACGCCAGGTCTTCCACTGCCTCCCCGAGTTGGGTCAAATTCATGTTGGTTGCTTCGCAGACACTGTCCAACCATCTCATCCTCTGTCGTCCCCTTCTCCTCTTGCCTTCACACTTTCCCAACATCAAGGTCTTTTCCAAGGAGTCTTCTATTCTCATGAGATGGCCAAAGTATTGGAGCCTCAGTTTCAGGATCTGTCCTTCCAGTGAGCACTCAGGGTTGATTTGCTTTAGAATGGATATGTTTGAGTTGCTTCGCAGACACTGTCCAACCATCTCATCCTCTGTCGTCCCCTTCTCCTCTTGCCTTCACACTTTCCCAACATCAAGGTCTTTTCCAAGGAGTCTTCTATTCTCATGAGATGGCCAAAGTATTGGAGCCTCAGTTTCAGGATCTGTCCTTCCAGTGAGCACTCAGGGTTGATTTGCTTTAGAATGGATATGTTTGATCTCCCTGCAGTCCAGGGACTCTCAAGAGCCTCCTCCAGCACCACAACACAGCCCTTGAGGTAGCTTGGACCCAAGATGTTTAAGGGTTTATAGGTTAAAATCAGCATTTTGAATTGTGCCTGGAAACAGATCAGTGCTGTCTCCATCTGCAGTGATCATGGAGTCCAAGAAAGTAAAATCTGTGACTGCCTCCATATCTTCCCCTTCTGTTTCCCAGGAGGTGACGGGACCAGTGGCCATGATCTTAGTTTTTTTTGATGTTGAGTTTCAGACCGGTTTTTTTTGCACTCTCCTCTTTCACCCTCATTACGAGCTTCTTTAATTTCTCCTCACTTTCTGCCAGCAGAGCGGTATCATCTGCATATCTGAGGTTGTTGATATTTCTTCCGGCAATCTTAATTCCGGCTTGGGATTCCTCCAGTCCAGCCTTCCACATGATGTATTCTGCATATAAGTTAAATAAGCAGGGAGACAATATACAGCCTTGCCGTATTCCTTTCCCAATTTTGAACCAATCAGTTGTTCCATATTCAGTTCTAACTGTTGCTACCTGTCCCATGTATAGGTTTCTCAGGAGATAGATAAGGTGGTCAAGCACTCCTTTTCCTGTTAGGCTCTCCTGCCATGAGACCTTATCTAGCAGTGTTCTGAGTTTTTTAAAACTTGCTTTCCTAAAGTTCAGAGTAGACATGTAGCTACACTCTGCTTTTGTGTCCTTTGTAATTAAGAACTCAAATGGTCACTTTCCCCAAGAGTCCCTCTTGCTGACACTTCTTCCACGAAGTCACCTCTGTTGTTAGAATCAAGTCCAGGATAACTACTCTTCTAGTTTCTTCCCCCCCTTTTTATAATAGAAAATTATCAGCTACACAAATCAGGAATTTCTTAGAAGGGCCATGTTTGGCAGAATTTGCCTCCCAAGAGATACCAGGATCATTGAAATCTCCCATTACTACTGCATTGTGTTTCTTTGAAATTCTTACAATTTGTTTTTCAAAGGTTTTATCCACATCTTCTTCATTGAGCAGTCGGTAGTATACTCCAACCACTATGTTCCTTTTATTTTTTGCCCAAATATTAATCCAGATGGGAGAACAATGCTCTTCCTCCTGTGCAGGAATGTGTGTTTTTGACATATACAGTGGTGCCTCGCTAGACAGTTACCGCGCATGACAGTTTTTTCGCTAGACATTTACTTTTTGCGATCGCTATAGCGATTCGCAAAACAGTGATTCCTATGGGGGAATTTTGCTGGATAATGTTTGGTCCCTGCTTCGCAAATGGATTTGCGCTAGATGACGATTTGCTTTTCGCTAGACAATGATTTCGCTAGAGAGCAATTTCAGTGGAATGGATTATCATCTAGCGAGGCACCACTGTACTGCTACTCCACCTCCCTTTCTATTTTTTCCTTTGTGAACAATTTATACCCTTCAATTGCTGAGTTCCAGTCATGGGAGTCATCCCAAAAAGTTTCATTTATCTCTATGAAGTCATATGTACTCTCCTGAGCTAAGATTTGCAACTCTTTGTGTTTGTTTCCCATACTCTGGCCTTCACTGTGGCCAAACAGATTACCCCACCCCCACCCCGGAATCAAGACACGAGACAAATATGTGGAATAAACATGGGCCACACTTTATTTAACTAATCATTAAATTCCTTTGATGAAAGGGGGGTCCTGCGGTAGTACAGAATCAGGTTCTGCAGAGGGGTCTCAACGGACCCCTAACCAAGATAATGGGTGAGTCCCAAGCCCCAAGTCCCCGTGGTCGTGAAGAAAGTGAGAACCTGGCTGGCCCAAATTTGCCCACCTTGGAGCTCAAGCCTCCTCCTCATTGTTTTTCCCCCCCAATTTTTTTTATTTTTTAACATAAAGGGTGACAGAAAGGAAAAATGGGATTGGAATTAATGAGGAAGAGGGGAGACAATAACATATTAACATCCATTCTATACCTATTGCCATATCAAGATTTTAAGTTATTCTGTTTACTCTTTTCTGCCTTCTAGATTAAGTTCTTATTTCAATATATGCTATTCACATACTGCCTGTTGATTCAGTCTACTTGTTGAATAGATCCCATCTTTCTATTCCTTTTGCAAGGGATAAGTCCTTCATGACTTCTGATAGAATATCCATTGTAAGCAGCCCCTTATCTCCAAGAAGATTTATGGGGGTGCCGGAAATTGGGACGAGTACGAAATCCAGACAAACCTCTAACTGCTGAGCAGAGCCACTTAGATCTCAGCCAGGTCCTGTCTAAATTTCTTCCTCAGAAAGCCAATCTCCTTATTAAGAAAGCAACACACACAGACACATCCTTGAGCTATACTCAGAATAATCTGGCTCTGGAACTTTGGGTAGCAAACACACGTGGCCAATTAGACATTCAGCCAGTCTGTGCAAAAACTAACACCTGCAGATTTAATCATTACTGCTTTATTGAAAAGAATTGCTTTAGAAAAGAATTCAGTTGATAGTAAAATAGTTTAGTAGGTACATTTTCATTCAATACCAACGGAACACTCCACTCCCCCCACTCCAGCTGAAAAAATAAAGAAATAGAATTATGCTAACTAACAAAAAGCATAAATAATCCATCTCACGTGTCTTGGGTCTTCAAAGGTTGATGCTAGATGAAAACCAGTCCATGGTAGGAAAAATAGTCCATTATGGGAAAAGCACGTGTCTGCCCCTTTCTCAGGCAAACTCCATCTTTTTCCCACTCCTCACTCACTTCCTTCTTCTTCCCAGAATGCTTCATAAGGAACACCCCCTCCTGGGTCTTGTTGTTCCGCCTAACTTTCTCATGGAGCTTCAGTTGTTATCATTCTTTGTGGCAGAATTATTTTGACTACGAAAGTCTCTGCTCTCTGCTCATCTTAGCAACGAGATAACCAGAGAGCGAAGTTTCTCTGAAACAGCATGTAAAACTTTCCTACTACAGAACAGACTTTAAATCAAAATGGATGCTATTGGGACAATCTTAGGACTACATATCCCATTCTAATACACATAAAAACACAAATCATCACATCCATTTCTGCTATTTCCCGTATCTTTTCAATAAGATCTTCTTTCGGTACTGTTGGGCTTTTCCAATTTTTAGCATATAGAATTCTGGCTGCCGTAACAATATATATAGCTATATATTCCTTTGACTTATCTATATTATCAGATATCGTACTCAATAAAAACAGTTCTGGGTTTAATGGCACCTTCGTTTCGTTTAGTCGTTTAGTCGTGTCCGACTCTTCGTGACCCCATGGACCAGAGCACGCCAGGCCCTCCTATCTTCCACTGCCTCCCGGAGTTCTGTCAATTTCATGTTGGTTACTTCGCAGACACTGTCCAGCCATCTCATCCTCGGTCGTTTTTTTCCAAGGAGTCTTCTCTTCTCATGAGATGGCCAAAATACTGGAGCCTCAGCTTCAGGATCTGTCCTTCCAGTGAGCACTCAGGGTTGATTTCCTTTAGAATTGATAGGTTTGTTCTCCTTGCAGTTCAGGGGATTCTCAAGAGCCTCCTCCAGCACCACAATTCAAAGGCATCAATTCTTCGGTGGTCTGCTTTCTTTATGGTCCAGCTCTCACTTCCATACAGAGCAATAAACCTCCTCCTCATTGTTGACTGGTTGTCCGGGCACGGCCCCAGTGCATCTTCCCGCCCAAACACTGTAATCACATGATCCGCAGCACTGGGAGATCAGAAGCACCATGCATTACTTATGATTGCTAGGGGACTCACTGAAACCTGTTCTATCCACACTACCCACCTGTGTGACCAATTGGCTCACTCACCATAGAGAAGGAAATGCCCACTGACACTGCTCACACTTTCAAATAAGTCATTTTGTTGAATTTTCCTCTACTAGGGGATAGAATACCATCTTTCTCTTCCCTTCTACTTGTTCCCTCAGTGAATGTGGTTAGATAATATGTTGATTAAGGAAATACGCTAGTTCATCGTAAGTACAGAAGACATAGAAGTGACAGTTTCCCCCCCTAAAATGAAGAATCAGTTATCATCCTGGATTTTTAACATCAAATGCTCCTTGGCATTCAGGTCAGGTCTAAACACAATAATGTAGCATTTGGGGACAAAGATGCAGCCCAGCAACCCCAGACTGGAGGATAGGATGGAGAAGACCTGCACGGCCACCATGTACTTCCCTTTGGTGCTCAGGTAGGTGGGCACAAAGGACACCCAAACGCTGCAGAAGACCAACATGCTGAAGGTGATCAGCTTGGCTTCATTGAAGGCCCCAGGCAGCTTCCTGGCTAGGAACGCCAGGGTGAAACAGGTGGCAGCCAGAAAGCCCATATAGCCAAGGGCACTATAAAACATCACAACAGAGCCCTCGTTGCACTGCAGTATGATCAGCCCAGGTTGGGAATGCAGGTCAGAGTCTGGGAATGAAGGAGAGACGCCCAGCCAAACAATGCAGATGCCCAGTTGAATACCAGAACAAGAAAGGACAATGGAGTTGGCCCAAATCTTCCCCAGCCATTTCCTCATCGTGTTCCCTGGCTTAGTGGCCATAAAGGCTACCACTACCATGACGGTTTTTGCCAACAGGGAAGAGACAGCAACTGAGAAGATGACACTGAAGGCAGTTTGTCGGAGAAGGCAGGTCACTCTCTGGGGCTGGCCAATGAATAGAAAGGGGGACAAGAAGCAAAAGAGGAGGGAGCCGAGGAGGACATAAGTGAGGTCCCGGTTGTTGGCTTTGACGATGGGCGTTTCTCGGTGTTTCACGAATATTCCTAACACCAAGAGTGTACTTAGGGATGAGAGCAGGGCCAAGAAAGTAAGGGAGATCCCCAAAGGTTCTTCATAAGAGAGGAAGCTGATAATTTTGTCAACACATTGATCTCGGTCCTCATTCGAAAATTGATCATCTGGACATTTGTTGCAGTCCTCTGCATCTAGAAAGAATTACAACAGCTTCAGCATTCATATAATCCGTCTTACATCAGTTATCATCACTGGTCTTTTGCATTTATTAAAAGGGAATGTGGAATATATGGCCTCTCAATGTTGATGGTTTGTAACTGCCTTTAGAGAGATAAAGGTTCATGGCAAATGCAGTCCAGCATTAAAGGGAAGTCAGCATAAAAGGGGATTTGTGTGAGACTGAGCATATGAATGGATGAAAAACACAGTGAGGATAGGATGTGGAAGGGGGCACAGCCAGGTAAAGAACAGGAAAAACAGCAGTTTCAGCAGCAGCACAACATTCTGCCTCAGATCAATAATATTCCAGATACAACAAACTACACAAATGAATAGAACGTTGTAGGGATGGGAAGAGAGGGTTTTTCTACTAGTGCATTTCATCATAATGGCTATATACATCCATCCAGCAATATGAAAAGCAACTCCAGCTGCTGAGGGCAATGACAGCAACGGGCTCTGCCTTCCTGCTGATGTGGTTCCCAAATGTATCTGGGTGGCTACTGTGAGAAACAGGGTGCTGGGCCAGATGATCCACTGATCTGCTCCAGTAAACATCCCCTTATGTTCAGTGTCTGGGAAGAAATGTTCCTTCTAATTTCTGCTAGTGCTAGGCAGTGGCACAACTGGGGTACCACAAGGCTCAATCCTGCACCCACCACTAATGACTTGGATGAGGGGTGCAGGAAATGCATGATGACACAACATTGGATGGAAGAGCTGATACCTCAGAAGGCAGGAACAAAATTCAAAAGATCCTTGACAGGTTTGAGCAATGGGCTGAAAACAACAGAATGAAATTTTATAAGGATAAGTGTAAAGTTCTACAGCTAGAGGGGGAAAAACACTTGAACAGTTACAGGAGAGGGACAGCTGGCTCAGGTATATCACAACCCAGAAGGATCTTTGTTATCTATCAAAAGCAGAATATGAGCCAACAGTGTGATGTGGCTGCAAGAAAGGCCAATGATATTTTAGGCCTCATTAACAGAAGTAGAGTCTCCAACTCCCATGACTTACTGGAGGACTGAAGGGAAAATTAGACAACCATATGTCAGGTTTAATTTAAATTCAAATTTAATTTGAATTAATTTGAATAAAGCAGGAGTTGAAATCATTAATTGTCTTGATTTTAGATCTGTATTCTGGTATTCCTTTCCACGGATCTGTACAACATACCTGAGTGTTTTCCATTTTATGTTCCCAGATGTGTGGCATACATGTTTAATAAAATCTAAGCAGATTTAAACTCTACTTTCCCCATTCAAACTTTAGCTCATCAAAATGTACCGATATGAGCCAACAAATTCTCTTACAAAACCTTACAAATCCATCTCAAACCACATTTGTATTACTGTAACATAGAGGAACTGTCTCAGATGCTTCTGAAGAACCTTCTACAGTGTGTGAGTGGACCCTTGCCTTAGTCCTCTGTTTTTTCCACCACCGGTGGGTTGAAGATTACCTCACACACAGTGAAGTTATGATTTTCTACCACAGGCTCAAGAAACCTGGCCCTACACATCCTACTGGGGCCAAAAGGCATAGGATGCTGACTTCCTTTTTAGTAACCCTCCCTTCAAATTCTTCAGAAAACAACAGATGTGGGATTTACAGTGAAAAGCAGACAGTACAGGTGAGTTATGCTTAGTAATGCTTCTCCTGAAAACCTCTGTCGCCCCAGAGTTACCCACCTTCCTGAGTGGAGATGGTTCCTCCTGCACACGGGGCACAGCCATAGCAGCAGGCGGGCTCTCCCTCCTTCACCAGCTTGACATGTCCTGGATGGCAACTTTTGGTGCATCTAGAAAAGGGCATCGTCTGGGCATCAGGAGAAGCAGCTAGTTAGTAGATTCATTTCCGCATTGGTGGAAATTATTTATGGAAGAGTTAAGATCTTAAGGGGAGAGTTTTAATTGCATGCAGGGTTTTTATTAACATGTGACACCCATATCACCATTCCTTTTTTATTCAAGATGGTCTGGAGAACTTAATAGGACCAGGCTGGAGTAGGGTAGCTTAAGGTCATGTTGAGGTCCAGGAGGCATTTGGCATGATCTTTGCATCTGCACGGCATCTGCACCTCAAGGGGCTCCATTTGGCCTGCCTCCCTTCAGAAAACCAAACAATCCCCACAGCAGACCTGCCGTCCTTCCACAATTCTCCAAGACCTCATATGGCTCCTCTGTCTCCTGTTTGTGGATGATCCCCATGTACAGGACATGATTCACTATAATCTTGCAATTAATCTTAATACAAGGTACAGAACATGAGCAAGAGAACAGTCCTTTTGGTACAGGAAAACACTTTTGAAATCCAAAATACTGTAGGAAGATCATAAGGAAAAAATGCGATGGGATTTTAAAACATGGGGAAATCAAGAGATTGAAATGAAACAAGTGGTTTCTCCCACCTGGTTAAACCAACTGGACCATCCAATGGCATTTTCATCAACGGTCACCTTGATCTCAGGGGAGTCCCGTCTCTCTATACGCCCAACTTCTACTCCAGCGGTCGACTTGTTGGGAAACATTAACCAGTTCACGATATGGAAGTCAGCTGCCAGCTCCCCATTCTCATCCAAATAAACTCCATTCATGGCAATATTGTAATACTGGACATTTTTAAGAAAAGGATGAAGCTAAAAGGACAAGCAAGCTCATTAGACAATCAGGAAATCCTGTTAGTCAACTTGGCCCTCACCATATGGATCCCCTGAAAACTCTAGTGATTTCAGGGAGTCAAATGCATCAGTTCTTGTTAGCCTGGAAGTCTTGGAGCTTGGAATAATTAGTAGGGTTTTTAAAATAATATAACTAGATCATGAAGAACTGGAAGTCTATTAGGAAAAGTGGCTAAACTGAGTCAATAGTATTTTGAGCACATCACGAGAAGAAAAGCCACAATGAAAGACTACTGGGATAAGTTTACGGCAACAGGAAAAGGGAAAATGCAAATACTGTAGGAGATGAATTTACCCAATTAAAAAGCCCACTGTCTTGAGTTTGAGAGAGCTGAGCTGGGCTGTGCAGAACAGAACGTATTGGAGGTCACTCATTCATGGAGAATCTGTTAAATTCAAACCAACATCATGGCATACAAGAAGAAAACTGAAATCCTCACCATTGAATCTATTAAAATCGGGGGTGGGGATTAGGAAATCAAACCAGAATGGCTTCATATCTGAGCCTGTTCTCATTTAGAAGAGGCTGATACAGGCCATGAAGCCCTAAACCATTCCCCCAACTGGGCAGCCAATACATAAATTCTGTAGAGACCAAACCCAGATTTGTCTGTGCAGCCGAGAAGCAGATTGGTGAACTGGACATCAAGAGAATTCTCATTTTAACAAAGGCCCATTTCACCAATGGTTCATTGGGACAACAGATCCCACACAGAAAATCTGCTCCCACCGCCACCGGACCCTCACAGATCTTGATTTCAGCAATTAATAACAGTTTTCCCTGGAACCTTCTGTGAACAAAACGGAGTACCTGCCATGGCTGGATCCTTTGAGCTGCCAGGCTATGCCCACCCATTGTCTTCCGCCAATTTGACTGGGAAAGGTGTGCTGCATGCAAAGATTGTGTCACAACCTGGATGGCAGTGTAAATGCTGTAGCTGTCCTGAGACAGGATCCTCTCGATCACATCCTGGGGCAGATTCTCCCTCTTCTCTTTCTCAATGCACCTGTTCCAGACTTTCACAGACAACGTATCTCTTGGAGAGCAACAACGAAATGCTGTCCTGCTTAACTGGTCATTATTAAAGAGAATCTTCTCAAAATCATTATATTGTGTCCCTTTGTTGGTCTGGATCAAGAAGGACAAGTAAACATGGGTGAACTGGAGATCAAACATTTCGAACAACAATCTCACAGTAAGATCCTGCAAAGCTGTTGCAATCCACACTTTGCCCACTGTCACTCCACTTGTTTGAATTATCACTGCAAGAATCAACATGGCCTGAGAGTCTATTTGACAGACAACAACATTAACTTTAGTACTGCTAAGATTGGGAACCAATGTATAATATGTTCTTGTGAAGGAAATTCCTATGGGCATTTTGTTTGAGAAAGCAATACATATGCTGTTCTTTGTGATCACAGCTGAGAAAGTGCCCATAAATCTTTCTCCGCTTTCATTTTCTGGAGCCAGGAGGCCGATCCATGTCCACCTGAAGTGCAGGAGCAGTTTGACAATCCCCAGGTAAGGAGGCTCCTGATTTGGGACTGCTCGATAGAAAAAAGGGTATTGGTGTTTCTTCTCTGGCATTTGACTGATGAAACGATAACTGACCTAATGAGAAAAAGAACAAAGCTCAGATTCTTCAGATGATCTAAAATGATTTTAGCTCAGTTCCTAACTGTGGCTACAGTAGAAGAATGCAGCTTCCTCCATTTAAAAACATTTTGGAAGATAACATCCCTCACAGAAAGAGAGAGACATATTTCGGACTGTTTTACCTGATTTAGCCCAGCCCTTGCTTCTGTCAAAATTCATTTTCCCTCCTTCCTTCCTTCGTCTACAGCATCTGAATTACATTTCATTCTGGGCTACCTGACATTTCTGGTATGCAGGACATCCATCCATTGTTGTTGCTGTTTCTCATCCCTGTTCCTCTACATTTTCCACTTGAGGTTGGACATATCATGGCTATAATGGCTTTCTCAAGCCAGTTTCCCAGGTCCTAATCCTCCCTGCACTTCTTTTCTATTTATTTCTTAAGCTGTTTGGTGAAATGAGGCCTACCACTTCTGGCTCAGGAAAGCTGATGTATGAAAATGCATGATTCTGTGGATCAAAACTGATAATAACTAAATGAATACTCAAGGATCTTCTTTATTGATTCCACACCAAAATTAGAAATAAGAAGTAATTTGTATCCACACAACAGCATCAATAACACTCTTAACATTTATATTATCTATCTCTCACTGTCCCTGACATTGCCCCCAAATGTGGCAATCTATAGAGATTTTAAAAACTAGAAGGAGACTCACCCTCCACCCCTTTCATACCTGTGGGATCTTGTAGATGTCCAATATTGTTGAAATCTGGGTGGACATTTCTGAGTCAGCCCCTTCCAGAACCACCGACAAGCCAGTCTGCTTCCCACAGAGGTAGTTTGGAACATGCTGCTGCCCCACAGACAGCAGGTCCACCAAAGCCTCAGAAGTCATCCTTGCACTGAAATGATTCTCGTAGATGTTGTAGCCCAGAGTGATATTGGGTAAAAGGGTTGGCTTCTCGTTGATCTCACGAACAGCAAACAAGAAGGGAAGGACGTTCCAGAATGTCATGCCTTCTAGACTGTTACATAAAGGGAGCTCTTTAGGCAGAAGTCAAAATTAAGGACACCCAAGTTTCTGTGCAAAAATATGTTAGAATCTCATTCCCAACATACTATTTCCAAGCTCTGCTCTTAGAAAGTCCTAAAATCAGTACTCTTTCTGTGAGTGAGGTAGAAGCAAATAATAAAACTTCTTGGGAAGTCCTGACCTTGGCACCCCACTTGTAGCATCTATTCAAATATGTACTCTAAGAACCAAAAGATATGAAGGCCACTTTCTTTTATTGCACACTAAGTCTGACCCTCACACTAATTCAGAATTGCATACAAAAGCCTAAAAATGGGTCCCAACTACCTTTCGTGCACGGGAGGGAGATCTCGGGAGATAAGACTTGGACCCACTTAGGGAAGAAAATGCAGGAAGGAAAGAAGCAGGCTGCAATCTGTGCCAATTGGAGTGAGTGAAATTTCAGGGAGCACAAGGCCATGTTGTGGTTTTGCTCCATGAGGGTGACATCTTGAGCCCCTTGGAAATTCTTTTTAAATTAGGGAGACTGAGTGGAGGAATTTCTTTTACATCCCACAGTTGGCAATTTTCCTTTCATTGTTTCATAAGTTAAGATGGGATTCCTCAGAGGTCTTATTTCTCCAGTGGGATCATCGCTTTTTGCATTAGGTTACCTGCAACTTTAGTGGACGGTGTCATTACTGACAACAGCTGTGGCACTCAAACTTTTTGATAGTAAAAAGAAAAGCCCAGATAGATTATAGAGACACATATAAAATTGTTAACGATAGATCACAAGCAAAAAATCTTGAGAAAAGGTGTTAAGGATAACCCATACAATACTTGGTGCAAAGAAATAGTACAAGAGAAAGGGGGAAACAAGAGATCTCTTCTATGAGACCAAAGAAGTCAAAAGGAAATGTAAGCCTACATTACGAGTGCTGAAAGATTAACAGAAGAACATAATATCTCCACAGGATGAAATAAAAAGAAGGGGAAAGCAGTATACTGAAGACTTATATAAAAGATTCTCAAAGCAAACAAATTTCTTTGAAATTGAAAAAGCTGTAATTTCTGAATATAAAGTGAAAGTCATGCTCAAAGTGCTTGGAAGAATCACCAGGACTGGATGGAATACCCATAAAGCTATTTGAAGTAACAGAAGAAAATAGGTGTGCATCAATAACTTGATTGTCCTGATGGACAAGACCCAATGCTACGACAGAATTTGGAGAGAAAGAATGTTTTTCCATAAGAAAAAGCATCCATAAAGTGTGACATTTACTGTATCTACATATCTGTATTCAGTATCTACATATCATTCTGTATTCAGCTCATTTCATATGGAAAATGGGACTGGATTCAGATGAAGGAGGATTGAAAACTGGTGGGATTAACTTCAATAATTAAAAATATGCCAAAAATTCAGGTAGAAAGCAGCAATGATTTGAAACATACAATAATGCAAATGAATAAATAAAATGCTCTCAAATAATTGCAGTTGACCATTGTGAACATAAGATGAGAGCTACAGAAAAACCATATGGCTTTAATGTTGATTTTCAGAAACTGGAACTGTCAATATTTTTATTACCAGTGCATCCACTCATCAAAGAAACTGGAAACCGCAGCCAAGAAATCTGAAGAAGGTTGAGATCGGATGATGAAGAAAACTGATGTGAATATTTTTTTAAAATAATAATAATATAGTGCTGAAAGACAGCTTTGCTGATACCCTGAATGGTTAGAAAGAAAACTTGTGAGTCCTTGATCAAATCAAGCCCAAACTGTCTCTAGGGGGGAAAAACGAAGAAACTGAGTTTGTCTTACTTCGAGCACGTCATGAGAAGACAATAATGAAAAAGCCAATAATACTAGGAAAAATTGAAGGTGGTAGAGAAAGAGGAAGACTAAATATGACAGGGTGTGGCTTCATAAAGGATGCTAAAGGTTTGACGTTCAGAGTGCTAAGCAGAGCTGCTAATGATATGACATTTTGGAGGCCACTCATTCATGGGGTCACCATACGTGTGAGGCTACTTGATGGCACATAACAGTAATGAACACACCTAGCAATGCTGCAACTCCCAAACCAGGAAACAACCTGACCAAATAAACTTGGATCTGGGACCAACTGTGTCCACAGCCCTGGCTCTCCTGATGGGGCTTGAATCTTCCAGCCTCTTTCCTGGGATTGCCAGCAGCGTCACTGGAACAACGATATTAATCAACAGACATGTCCTTTCTTTAAAAATTAGGAAAGAGTTAAGATAAACCTCTACTAAATACTAGGGTAAAGGGAAAAGAGTCACCTCTTCTATCCTCCAGCATTTCCCACATGTGGAAAGGGAAACCTGCAGGAGAGGGGAAGTACATGATTCTCTAGAACCAGATGAGAGAAATCTTTTTGCCATGAGAAAGTTGAAAAAAATGTGGCATCAGTCACCATTACTTACACAAGAATATTGCTGGAGGGAGAACGGTAGAAAAGATACGGCCGAAATAGCGAATTTGTGGTAGTTATGATCCCAGTAATCTGGTAATCTCCTGGCCTGTAATAATTAAAGAAAAAGCCTCGATCACTGATCTTCTTCCAGGGGCATTGTCTCTTGATCCCCAAATGAAAAGCACAGGGTGGCAGCATCAGCATCAGCAGATACCACTGGATCAAGCTGGAGATGCTCAGTAAAGTTCTTTCCATCCTCTCTTCCTTGGTTCTCAGAGCCAACTTGTTAGAAGCCAGGGAACATGACTGCAGTGCCAGCCTCTTCTCTGATACAACTGGGTATCCGGGATGCCTCCTCTCACATCTGACGGGAAGATTAGCTTCAATTAAAGCTAACTCCGGCACACCCCTCGCCTTTCCTCAGCATCAGCCCCAGATGCTCAGTGGCCCAGGTGGTCTTTATGCACTAGCTTTTCCAGGATTTGTACAGAAGAAGTTCCTGAGTTCCTCTGAGGCTCTCACCTGGGATTCAAAGGAGGAAAATATCCTCTGTTGAACTTTGCTGAGAAGTGTAAGAAATCACTGTGATTTTGATAATTGTTGGGTTCAAAAATCACTTCTGTCAGGTCAGCTCACTTTGCAGCTGGTCCCACGGACAGCTCCAGAGCAGGGTCTACTTCATGGGTCCCAAAAGGAGTTTTTCTGGCATGTTTGGCTGTCCTTCAGGGAAGACAAAGGAGGCCTCCATCTTTTCATGCCTCAGGGAGGCCACTGACCATAAGATTCTGGGGGTGGAAGTCCAAAATGCTTGGGCCAATAATCAGTTAAAACTTCAGCAGTGTGGCTCGTCTTTGCCTCCCTCCCTGTATAACACAGGACACCTAGTCTCATGAGAACAGTTGGGTGAGAGGGGGGAACGTTATTTAAGAGATGTTCCCCCCTCTCCACACCCTCTTCCTTTCCTGGCATCAGCAAGGATAGAGCTCCGTTGCTTCAAATGGTTTTTTGCTGCGTCAGTGGCAAGGACTAAACGCAACAACACTCCGGAGGCTGGGGAGTAGCATTGGCTCCCCCCCCCCGCGGTTTCATTATCGATTTTTGACATTTTTGGGGAATTTATTTAATCAATCTGAGTTAAATGTTACAGATTGCTTTAATTAATTTCTAATTACTTATTGTATTGAGATCCGGTAATTACATACTGCGGTGCCTTGCTAGACGATTGCCTTGTGGGCCGAAAAACCCGCAAGACGGTTGTTTTTTGCAATCACTATGGTGCCTCGCAAGATGTTTTTTTCTATGACCGTGCTTTGCAAGACTTTTTTTTAGACCGATGCTTCGCAAGATTTTTTTTTAGACCGATGCTTTGGAAGACATTTTTTTTTAGACCAGTGCATAGGGAACCTCACAAGATGATTTTTTCACAAGACAACGATTTTCGCGGAACGAATTAAAATTGTCTTGCAAGGCACCACTGTAATCTATTCTGTTCAAAAGCAGTTAAATTGCACACCCAGAGATTGTGGAAGTGAACTTAATCTTGTAATGAGGCAGGTGCTTTTGACTTGTGGTGCTGGAGGAGACTCTTGAGAGTCCCCTGGACTGCAAAGAGAACAAACCTATCCATTTTGAAGGAAATCAACCCTGAGTGCTCAGTGGAAGGACAGATCCTGAGGCTCCAATACTTTGGCCATCTCACGAGAAGAGAAGACTCCCTGGAAAAGATCCTAATGTTGGGAAAGTGGGAAGGCAAGAGGAGAAGGGAACGACAGAGGAGGAGATGGTTGGACAGTGTCATCAAAACTTCCAACATGACTTTGACGAAACTCCAGGAGGC